GGGTCAACCGTTCCCTCACCCGGTCCTGGCCGGACTGGCCTGGGAAGCTTGCACGGGCCGGTTTATTTTTACCCCGGGCCGTTGTTGGGCTTTTCCACCTGCAGCCCGGCCCGGCCCGACCCGTTCATTTTTACACCTCTACTCCCTTTGCAACTGGAGTTGACTTGTTTTAATTGGACTACGAGATTGATTTTTTCTTGAGTAAAATAGATTTCTATTTGAGCCCCACTAAAAAGTTAAGAATGCATTTTAAAATAGTAGAATGATAGAAAATGTGTGGTTAAAAAATAAAGAAAAGTTTTGAATTTGCGCGTGATATTATTTTATCGAAAAATGTGCGATAGAAAAAAGAGAAAGATAACGTATCTTGAAAATAATATAGATCGAACAAAAGCTAAATTTAAATATCCCAGGAGTGTTTAATTTACAAAGGTAATTAGGTTTCCTTCATCACCTATGACCTCGATCTCTATCTTTTTTAATTTAAATCATTTACGTGATATCTTTTCATGAACAACAAAATTAAGAGATACGACAATTAAAAGAAACGTAAAACTTTCACCATCTCTAGACGGGGTACAAAGATAGATAAAATAACTACTCTTCATACTCAACAAATTTGCATATACTAACACTTTTCTTTTGGCTTTCGTTGAGTTCGAGAGTTTTTCTTTATTTACACCTCCGATCTTCTCTGATAAGATTCTAAAAAAAATATTGTGTAACCCTTGGGGATTAGTATTGCTACAGTAACTCAGGCCTAAAATAGTGGTTGACTGGTGCGTCTATCGTGTGTTTAGGGTCCTTGTATAATTCCTGGTTAGGGTTTGCAATTCAAAAGATCCATTTGAGAATCCATGACTAAATCTTGGTCGGATTTAATTTGATGTAATCTGTACTCTCTGGAAGGTTTCTAGGTTCACTTAGTGTTGGGCTGATACTTGACCTTTCAAATTAGGCGATTGCTGAATTGGGTGAACAATATATGTGTTTTTTACGTTTTTGCTCGTTGTTTGTTATTCTATCATTCATCAAATTCTTTACTTTCTGGGAAAAATCCCAACAAACTTGTTCATAATTTTTTAGTCTTTTTATAATATCTTTACGTTTAATTTAATTTCATTTATTTTCTTTTTATAACATCTTTATGCTCTATAATTAATGGCATTGATTTAGTATCAAATACATTCAAATTTTGAAAATGTCACCTTTTCAAATTAATGAAAAATTTAAATAGAGACGAGGTGCTGAAGCTAGAAATAGGGACGAAGCGCCCAATTATTGCACGTACCATGAGTCACATGGCCATCGTATGGAGAACTGTTGGGACATCACAAGGGGCACTCCCGAAACCAGAATCATGGAAGAGGAAGGCGCCCTCAAAGAAATGCCATGTATAGGCAAAATCAACAACTTAGGAATGATGAACAACGTCGGTCCAACCAAAATGACCCTTCAAGAAGGAGGAAAAATGACACTAAAAGGCCTAGAAAAGGGTCAAAGATAAAGGCGAAGTCCCCCACCTAATAACGAACAAGAACCCATAAGAGAAATTGATACAATCATAGGAGGCCTGCATGTTGGGGGAGAATCCAGAAATTCACAAAGGAATTATACTAGGGAAGCAAGTGATCCTCCTATGACAAGCTACGTAGTTAACTATTCTTCGAATGGGAAAACAATTCCACCGATTACATTTACCTAAGAGGATACAGTGGGGGTGCATTATCCACACTGTGACGCCCTAGTGGTGATAGCTGTCGTGGCCCGCAAAGGCCGAAAAGAATGTTGGTGGATAATGAGAGTTCAGTCAACATTATCTTTGGAACCACTTTTCACAAAATGAAAGTCGATCATGAGCTGACCCCAATGAGTTCCCCCTTATATGACTTTACGGGAGATAGCATCATCCCAAGAAGCAAAATCACTCTAGCAATAGAAGGCACCTCAAATACACCTACTCCGATGGACTTCCTCAAAATCTTTCCCAAGATAACCTATTATCAAGTCAACCACCTTGGAAATCACTTACACCCGATTTCCAAAGGTCAAACACATTCTCCAATTCTAACCATTACATAAATAATCATGTTTAGACTTAGGAGACTATTGTGATATAGCAAAAAAACCAGCCCCATACTAAACCTTTTTTTGAATAAGTCGGCATTACATAAATAATCACGCATTGACTTAGGGGACTATTGTTACTCCTCGCCTCTGAAGCCTAGTGAAACGAGGTCATGTGGCACGACACGTGGGCAGACAATCAACAAGAGAGTCAAAAAGAAGACTCATTAGGTCAAACACACCAATAAGACAAACAGGCCGAGGTCCTCACACAACGTCCAAAGTTCTCACATAGCATGATGAAGTATGAAGTCCAGGCTGAGACACTTCTTCAAAGACGAAGCTCAGATTCATCTGAGGCTCTCTCCAACTTATTTGAAGCTCATTGAGTCGACGCTGTCTCTTGTGATAGATTTAAGGATCTATTAGAAGTGAGTGATGTAACACTTGTAATAAAGTTGTCAGTGTGTCAGCCTACTGTATAAGGCGGATGACCTCTTATCAATGTATTAATTGTATGAATAGATAGTGATGTGAAACCTTAGTTAGGGAGATCAGCCCACGTGGTTCCGATCCAATGGTACCACGTCGGCCAATGCAGTATAAATAAGTCCTCTTTGTAATGAAAAAGGGGATGGAAAATAGAAATCTGGGCGATGATATGTTCAAAATACACTCAAACTCTTGAAGGAAATGTTTTTACATTTCATCTATCCTTCCACATATTATTACTTTGTTATTATATAAATCAATTAGGTTTCCGTCCGATAATCGTTGTTAGTGCGATTGCCTTTGTTCTACCGGTCGAAGTTTGAACATTTTTGTCTCTCGTCGCAAAGTACCTCTCGCGTCCATTTCCTTATTGCTACCGTTATCATTCCGGTAGGAACGCGTCGGAATCGTGCTTGACTTGGCGAGAGTGAACCCGGCATTTGTTAATTCATTTTTTGGGGTCAACAACCTCTATACCACTTGCACTAAGATAACTAAGTCAAAACAATAATTTTTATAACTACATCTCTATTAAGCTATAACCTCCTCCTCGTATTAATAAAATTAGTTTGGTCTCAACATTATGACTATAGAGAGATTTTAGTGTATAACGATAAGTTTGTCATTGATTCAACGCGCTGAGGTTACATAGGGTGGGTTTCGAAGGATGAATTAGAGACATTCTAAAGGGAAACTACATAAATCTGTGGAGTTGTTGGATTCTGTTTCTTTTTTTTTTTTTTTTGTATGGAGTTACTTGAATTTAAGAGCAATGCTGGGTACAAGAAATTACACATAGAAAATGGACAGAATTCACTCAACACGTGGGCCCCAATTTTTTTAGCAATATTTAATTCATGTGGACACGCCACTCCATGTGAGTGGAATTCAAAATTCTGTAGAAAATCTGTATTTTTTTCCTTTACCTGCAGCCTTTTTCTGAATTTAATTAGGACTAGATGGCAAATGCAAATCTTTTGATACATTACATGAATAAACGGTCGAGTTGATTTTTAACAAATATTAATTTCATGTTCCCAAACTGTTGCTTAGGAAGGCATATATATAGGTTGATTTTTTGTGCAGATCAGATGAATAACTGAATGAGTCTTGGTTTAAGGGCAAACTGAGATACAATTTGCCCCTGTTTGGCCCTCGTTAAATTTTTAATACATTTTTCTCTTTCTCCTTTTTAAGTATACATTTTTCAATAAAATAATATTACACGTAAATTAAAAAAAAAAAGATCTTTTTTAATCATACATTCTCCCAACAATTATTATTTTAAAATACATTATTTCCAAAAAATTCATTATAAAGGGGTCAAACAAGGGCTCTTAATATTTTATTGCTATCGACGATCAACGGCCGCCCGTGCTGACTTAAAATTCTGGATCCGTCACTGATTATATTGATGGCTCCATGAGAGCATTGAGAAGACAGCTATGGCGAAACATAAGCTGTAAAACCGGTTCCGCGAAATTTTTGCTTAGAGATTTCATTTATTTTCTCCACCATCTCTGGAGTGAGGTGTGTCTGCCAATCTCCAACACTGCCCTTTCTGAAAAACACATGATTTTCATAATAACGAAAAGATGCAATTTTAGTTACACCAGTCTTGTTAACTTCCAAGTTGCTCAAGTTGTCAAAACTGCATAATTTAACAGTTTCTTCAACAATCCCATTCTTCTCTTCGTCCACGGAAAATGGATGCCCCAAGTGTTTTGCCATTTTTTTGGCAGAATCTATCGGATTTTTCTTTAAATCTTCATAGGTCAGTATCAGTACCTTATCAAGAGACTGCATGCTTGCATTCCAAAACCCAAGCACATGATCCCAGTATGGTCCAAACTGATAGACCCCTTCACAGAACATTTTAAAACATTCTTCTATAGTAAGTTGTGGTAGTTCTTTGGACCTTATCTTCTTCATGTGATACCAGCTCGAAACAAACACGTCCTTCGGATCCCGGACCACGTAAACTATACGGCAGGCCGAGGCCCAAGACCGAACAGATTCGGGTAAATGTGGATAAGGGGTGTGAATGGAGAAAAGTCTAGGTGAAGAGGAAATCTCAAGCTCATCTTCGTTTTCATGGTCTCGGAGAGAGAAAATTTCCAAAAATGGAAACAATGCTTGTGGATTTTTGGTAAGCAAAGGGTGGTCGGAGAAATCGTATCGGTTTCGATTCACAATTGTGAAAGCAAGGGCTTTCAACCAGGTTGTACCACATTTAGGGAAAGTGGCCAAGAAAATATCAGTGGGACGAGCTACGAAATGATCTTGTGCCAACATGACTCCCTTAAGAGTAGTAGAATTGAACCAAGTGTCATGGTACTTGACAAGATTTTCATTAACCCACCCATTTTGTTTAGGAAGAGTTGCGATTGTTACCTCGTACTCATCAGTTGTTCCGTTTTTGAGATGTTTAGGGTTTTTGGATGATGATGGAGTATTGATTAAAATGGAGGATGCCATTCAAGAGAGATTGGCCTATTTTCTTCCTCTGGATGTAGTGCAAACTACCTAATTATGATAATGGTTGGAAACCTTTTATGTATATGTAATTTATGTGCGTGCCCAAAATTTGTTCACAATTGTTTTGAAAATGCTCAAATCATATACTTAGCCCCCTATTTGGTGGGGATTAAAATTAAAAAAAATAGTAAATTTTGATAAAAGTTGATGAGATGTGTGATTGGAAAGTCGTGAATTCTATAAAATGTGTGGTTAAAATTAATTGTTGACTTTGACTGAATTTTAACTTCCGCTGTTTGGTGTGGATTAAAATCAAACATTTAGTATATCTTAATAAAAGTTAATGATACATATGGTTGAAAAATTGTGGATCCCATGAAATGAGCAGTTAAAATTAATTGTTGTTTTTTATTGTAGAAGTTTTCTAATTTTAATCAATACCAAACAAGGGCGTCCCCATTTCTTTATAACTCATTATTAATGTAATCTTCAACCAGAGTGATGGCATGATCAATGCCTATTTATCTATTTTAAACTCATTTTCAACCATACATTTTATGGAATCCAAAACTTTTATCAGCTCTCTAACCGCACATTTCACCCTCTTTTATAAAAATTTACTAAAAAAATAATTTTTATCTAAATAAAACTAGGCTTAGTATCAAACACATTTTATCAATATGTTTGCTAGCCCCGTTTGGTTTAGATAAAAAAAAAATTTATATTTTCAGTAGATTTTAATATTAAAAAAATGATGTAATGTGTGATTGAAAAGTTGTAGATCTCATAAAATTTGAGGTAAAATTAATTGTTGACTTTAACTTAAATTTTAATTTAAAATATTAGTTGAACCAAACATGCGCATAATTTGTTTCATGGCATTTCATAAGTGGATTCCTAGAAAATGTCGAGTCTAACTATTTGTCCTTACTTTAATTTGGTATTTTCACCTAAAAAAAACATCATTCAATGTTGTCATGATTGATAGGATTACATTATTGTAAACACTAGATAGCCACCAATGATTAATGTTGTAATAGGTTTACCTTTTCCTCCCAGGATGGATCCATATGTTGCAAGCTAATTTCACTTTCTTTAAAAATATTTATTGAGCAAATTTTGTATTTCCGGTGCATTGAGTGAAGTTAATTTCTTTCCGGAATGCATTTCAAATTGTGCTAGATTTCTACAGTTGAAGCTAGTCACCAATAATAGAATTTAGATTCGTATTTCTTTGCAATTCTAGCAAAATGCGGACTTGAAACCTCTCATGCACGAGCATTTTCACCTTTTAGTCTTGGCGGATAACTTTTTGATGCCTCGACACATTTAATCAATGGAAAGATGCTATTTCATTTTAAATAAATTAGAATTGCAACTTCAAATATTTGTCTTCGTTTTATTTCAACTTTTTTTCTATGTGATTTTGAGTTAGTGAAATAATTTGAATGAGTGATATCTTTTAGTGAAATAATTTGAATGAGTGATATTTTATTGATTTAAATATTAATGGAGAACCAAATACAATTAAACTATTAAGTCACGGCGCCTTTGATGCATGAAAGCATGCGTGTGTATGTATGAAAAAAATAATTTTTAATTAATGAAATCACCGACAAGTTCTTAATTAATGATTTGTCATATTTTGACAGCGTTGATTGTTAGATTTTGTGATCCAAATTAGATGGAATATTTTGAGAAAATATTTCCTTTATTTTACGTGATTTTTTTTATGATGAAAGTTACATTTTCTCTCAATTGGTTGTCATGAATAAAATATTCGGTTCTTGTTTGCTTTTCTTTTAAATTTAATTCTTGCTTATTAATTTGTGCGATCTATACTTCATATCGCGTCATATCATTCCTAACATAGATTCCTTTGTTTTCTTCTTCTTGGATTTAATACAAAATTAAACCTTAAATATATTGGGCTATTTTTCAACTGCTGTCTGAATTAAGAATATATTAAGCTCATGTTTGGTAAACATTCTTTTAAAATTCATTTTCAATCACACATTTTTCAATAAAGTAATATTTTCCATCACATCAATAACTTTTCCTTACTTTTTAACCACAAATTTCTCATCATATCACTATTTAAAATACATTCTTTCCTCAATAATTTTCATCAAACACACCCTAAGATACTTGTATAGCCCGCCATCCCAATTTTTCAGTTTTTGTGTTTAAATAATAGCATGTTATAAATAGTTTAAATGATTATTAGATTGCAATTTGTATAGATTA